TCGTCTATCTTTTTTCACACAGGATCAAGTGCCTTGATTTTTCCCTATTAGTGGATGAATGTGCTCGAAGATTGCTCAGTACTCAGGTACCATCATAGTAAGAAGTACGTGCCTTAAGGGTAATTGCAAAGTTCACGCTAGTTGTCTGTTGTCTAAGAATCCTCAAATACTTGAACGTTTTCTTTGCCCCAGAATCGAGACGTTAATAATAAACAAAAGTGTGCCAAATTTTAGGCTGAGATCAACCCCCTCACAAGGAAATCTTTCTTGCACTTTTTCTGCTTTGGAATTGGCAAGTTTCTGTCTTTCATTTTTCGTCTTTGTTTTAATTTAAAATTTGTGGATTTCTAATTGCTTCTTCTACTGCCATCAAATATCTTCAAATAGTCATCGATAGTATGAAGAAGAGTATTAGGTTAAAAAGAGGAAGAGAAATATAAGATAGTGCTGTGAAAGGCAGAAACGTTAACATGCAAATGAATATGCGTTTAGCTAACCTGTGCTTGGGAAGAGGTAAGGTATGACAGAAAGTCAATAATGCAAAATGAGAGATAGAGACAAATAGTAATGAAAAATGCCAACGCATACACTCAAGCACTGGAGTTTTATATTTATTCAGCGGAGATGGCTGACCCCTTAAAATTCAGCAGAGCCTTCACCACTTTCTGGCGTGAAAATAGTTTTTTTTTTGGAATTCCAAGATAATTTTTTCCTGACGCGGCTGGTCACCCAGACGGACTAAGTTGTTCAGAGGGGCAAGGCCTTTGGGAGGTTTAGCTGGGACAATGACCAGAAAAGCGTGAGCTAGCGAAAGAACCATATACAACACAGATAAGGCAGCAACATCTCAAGCCATATTAACACTGAAGCCCTCACCATCAGTGTAATAACAAACACGTAGTGTTCATTTTTTTGGTCAATTACCTTCTTATAACTCTAGATGCTGTGCAATGTGCATCAAACTTACAATAATTTTGAAAGAACTCACGCTTTTAAATAAGCGAAATTCAAAAGCAAGACTAGAACATAGAGTTGCATGTTTTTTTTTTCGCTTTTGTTTCTACCGTATATACTATTTGGCCTCTTCATCACTTCCCCATCCACATGATGGAGAATAAGTCGATTCCAGCATACACCTCTGTCTCTAAATGACATGCTCTCTCTAGTTCTTGTTGAACAAATAGTCGATGTAAGCCGCAAGCGCATTAGTTTGTTGAGCGCTAATTAATAGTCACGTGAGTACCTCCGGAACTAGAATACCTCCAACGCTCATATGCATTCCACATGGGCACCGCCCGTAATGACTAAAATCATTGAGTCACCTACTACAAGGCGTAACCAGACCTCACCAGACCATTCAACATAACACGATACCACAGGCAATCTTAGAAAACAGCCCTGCAGATACTTGCCGCCTGTTTTAGGACGCATTAATTAGTATACTGGAGAAACGTGCAGCTATGAAATGAAGACACCCCGCTAATGATCAGCTCACACTTTAAATGGGCTAGCAGTATAGGGAAACACAAACTACATCACGAACTCTGGTGGTCTGACATGTGTAACTGGTTCCATGAATTCGACTTTACAAAATCTTGGAAAAGTCTTGGTTATTTTCAGTGATTTACAACAACTCAGAAACAGATCACTGCTAGTGAGGCCCTATTTAGAGCTGTACTTTCCGGCTTCCTGAAGTGGTGTACTGAATACTTAACGTAAAACTTATGAACTTAAGTGAAGCAAACCTGAAATGAGTTTCACGGAGATGAAGAGCACTACCGATATTGTTCAAGCCTCTGGGCACTAGGTAAAAATCAATGTCAGATGTTAGTGTGCAAGTACCCTTACATCAGTCGGTAACTGTGACGCTAGTATTTGCTCTGCTGGCTGCATTGGAGCTCTGAAAAACGCTAGCATAACAGTAGCTGAGCCATCTGGTACATCCCCTGTTCACTGTTAACGATGATGCCCTAAATGAAGTTCACTACGAATGAAGCATTTACTGGTTGTTTATTCTAGTTTATTCGCTGAGATTTCCAATGTATTGTTTGAGTATATATATATATATATATATATATATATATATATATATATATATATATATATATATATATATATATATATATATATATATATATATATATATATATATATATATATATTATATATCTTGGAATGTAATTAACGTCAATTTTTTGTAGCAGAGGCTTTTGACATACTTTTTATACAGTGGTAAATGGAGAGATTTACGAGTGTCGCGTGAAAAGAAACATTTATATGCCAGACCGTAAATCAATCACCCTGCCTAAAACAGATTCTATGCACATGACCTGAATTCAGTGCCCTGAGTCACATACTTGTGTGAAAAGGTTTTTCAACTGATTAACCCCTTAGGTACTATCGCTGTTTTCATTTTAAGCACGGCCATGTCACAAAGACCATGTCTTGATATTCACTTCTAGGTGAATGCCTGTCCTCTATTAAATTTCTTTTAATTAATTATCAGACGAGTGTTCAGTATATTTTCCGAAATTATTGATTTGAGCACGTAAGTTTCCTGGTCGCTTTCATAAGGAATGCATCGATGTTATGTCGGCTCTACAAATTACATTGCATCATTGTTCATGGAACATGCAGTTGTACTTGTCTCTTCAGTTTTATCATTACTTTTCGATGAACTAGCGCAATATTAAAGCCAAATGTCTAATCTATCGCTTTCAACAACTCCCAAATTTCGTCGAGGGACACATTTACCGCAAGTCATAAACTACAATATAGCTGACACTTACAGACATGATATTTACTCTATGGCGTCACGAATATGGCGCTGTAACATGTAAACATTTAGATGACCAAATAAAGAAACCATTGCAGAAAATGTTTCATCGCTGGAAATCAGCATCACGACACCTCTCTCCGCAGCACGCGCCGCTAAAGAACTCGGCGACCAAGCATGCATTCTTCAGCATACAATTAGCAAGCTTTCCATATTAACCATTTACCCTTAGACGTATTCAGGGCTCGGAGAAATTTATGCGCGTTGTCGTTGTCTTCAGCGAGATGGCGCAAAAGGCGTGCTTCAAATGTTGTCGCGCCAGTGGTTGCGATGAGCAAATGCGATCGCTTTCCAACCATGCCATGTGTATACTCTACCCTACAGTACGCGGTCACCACGTATCTTCTGATAGAAGCGACTTGTGCGTCTGGATCTTTAACCGCAGAGCCTGCGTTAAAGTTACAGAGCGCACGTAGGTCGTCGGTTCGCTTGCAGCAGCGACTGCATTTGCGAAAGGAGGGCCCATGGCCATATTCCCCCACTAGGTTGCTATTTGACCTCTTTTTAAGATAAGTAAATAAGGAAAAAGGAAGAAATGCTCATACGGGTGTTTACAGCCGGTAACATTGTGACACACAATGTCTAAAAAATGGTAAAGTTAAAGAAAAGATAACAATATCTAAGAAAGGTGAAACAAAGTGCAAAAGTGAGATGAAATGAAGAAGATAAAGTTGTTCTATAAAGATGTGACAGTAGGTGTTGAGAACGTCTTCAATGCACGCCTAAAACGCCGACAAAAGCGTGAGTTTCAAAAAAGACAAGGTAGAAAGAACTAGCGGTCTGAATTGCGGTAAGCCTGAATCCCAGGTTTACTTTCGGAAGAGCGCCTCAGAAGAGCTGCGAAAAGGCTTTTCTCGCTACTGCAACGCGTCGCTTTGTCGAGTATGGTACCGTATTTCATTTCCGGCAAGTGCTGCAGACACTTCACTTGCTCCTCGCCTTTTTTTTTCTGGTTTTTTGTTTGGTTGTCTGGCTGCCCCATCTGAAGTTAACTTTCGAAAGAGAAACGCAGCGTGGACTGCAGTAACCAAGAAGAATAGACCGAGTTGCGGAAGCGAGGCTGCCGTCCATACAACTTAACACGTTCGTGAAAATACTAATTACAGAGTCTGAAGCGGCATCTTAAAAAGGAAAGAATAAGAAAAATGAAGACAAACAAAAATATTAAAACGCGCATGAAACAAACAATCGGAAGCCATCCGAAAGTGCAGATTCGTTATGATGTCCGCCATGAAACAGCGCTAAAAAAGACGCTGAAGAATTTCGCGAAAACAGCATGACATGTGGCTAATTATGACTTCAGATTATCAGTTCTTGCTCAGCGTATACAATCGCAAGGATGGTTAGGCGTTATTGCAAGGATGCGTGATTTTAGGCACTTCACGCCCGCACAGCACTCGGCACTGCCCTCTGCATTTCCGCCACAATATTTCCATATGATGTGCGGTGTTTATTATAGTCAGCAGGATCGAGCGTGATAAAGTACGCAGGACCAACTTAAAATATAACCTTTTCTTCACTATCACATTGCTCAACCCTGGGAACAGGCTGTCGAACGGGCTCGCTGTTTAAGCTCATTCTTCCAACAACTTCGGCTGTCCTTCGAAGCGCTGAAGTTGGCGCAATTGAGTCAGTTTTCTACGACACTTCAGTTTGTGCTAGCCAGCCTTCCCTGGTATTTAACCATAAGTGGTACCACCTACCGACTGGCATCCTTGTGCACGAACTGTCTGAACAGACCCACTGATTCTTGGTCACAGACGCTGGTTGCTTCCGGAAAGTTGGTGATACCTATCGCATCGAGTCACCACATCTCTGTCGGATCAGTGAGGCACGATGTGGCTTTGCTATGGAAATCACACGACAGAAAAAGAGCCGATGTGCTGTAGTTCACTTCAAGCTTGTCGTTATCGGTGTCTATTTTGTAGATGCCTTGCACCATACAACCAAAGATTGTCTCAACGGCGCAGAGATCGTCACTCAGGTGTTCCATTGTCCCCATGACTATACTACAATAGTCGTACGATCCAATGATGACACTGATGGTTTGGGTCGGTTGATCTCCGGGCCGCTGTTCATCGGCTAAAAGCATCTTACGGTCGCGCAACTGCATCAGCAGACCTTGCTCGAGAGTTGGCGTGTTCACGTTGCAGACTTCTGGCACTTACACAGCATCCACCGTGATACCGAGTGCATATAAACGACTCTGCAGCTTGGGTTGCATGGTTCGGTTTCGGTAAGTGTGGGAACGTTTGGAGTTGCCAAACATTAGCAGAGACAGGTCTTCTATGCCGACGGAAGGTAGACCGAGTCTCGTGGACAAGTCACGCCGTATAAATGTCCTTTCGCAGCCAGTGTCAATAAGTATACGAAACAGCGCAGAATCATGTCTTCCCAACGCCGATACTGTGGCCGCTTGCATGAGAACGTCTCGCGGTAGCGGCGCAGAACTGCTTGTGGTTGCACTGGTGATCGCTGGCAGGCCGTCGGTTTTCGTTTTGTCGCTGCTGTCGGCATCCGTGCAGTTTGCCGGTTTCCATATCTTGCAAAGAATGGTAAGATGATGCTTCGCGCAGAGCTTGCACTTAAGCCACTCTGCACTGCGGCACTGTCGTGCGACGTGTCCTTTTCTGGCACACTTGAAGCAGCAGTTGTTCTCGATTAGCTGCATCCGAATCTCGTCGATTGTCATGTTACTATTGCAGTAATTTACAGTGTGCTCACGGTGTCGGCATAGTACGCAGCAGGCATGGCTGTTCGTTGCAGATCCTGCTGCCAGCTCTAATGCTGATGGTAGCGGCGGCTGAAAGTGAGGATCCCTCACCTGGTGTCCTGTGGCGCTGGGTTTTCGTGGGCACCTCGAACGGGAGCTCTCATCTCTGCTCTCGATCTGAATCCGAAGGAACTGCATCACGTCGCGCACCTCTTCTTGACGCGACCTTGGAGTAGCCCTGTCGTTCGCCTCGGCCTCCTTCATGCGTTGCCGGTGCAGAACAGCGATGTCTTCGGGTAGCGATCGCATGAGAACACGTTGAAGTATAACCGCGTACTCCCACGCTTGAACTCCAAGGCTATTCAGGCAGCTGGTGCGAAAGCGTGTTTTTTCGTGTAGTTCGCGCAGCTGTGATGTGTTGGAGGGACGGTTCACAGTAGCGATGGCAAGCAAGCTGTCACTGTGCTTGTCTACGAGGGCTGTATGGCGGCCAAACCTCTCCTGGAGCACCTTGACAGCTACCGCGTAGTTCACTTGCTCCAGTCGAACACCTTCGATCGCGCGTTTTGTTGGTCCGGTTACATACGACCTCAGATAAGCGAACTTCTCAATGTCCGAAAGCTCGCGATTGTTGTGGATAATGGCCTCAAAATGCTCTCAGAAGCGCTGCCACTCGCAAAGTTCAACATAGAAAATAGGTACCTGTAACTTCGGTAGGGCAACTCGCAGCAGCGATCAGGGACTTCCTTGAGTGGAGACTCCTTAGGGCTTGGTGGCGGTAGCGATAACAGGTGCAGTGCTGTCAGCGGGCCTTGAAGCTGAGTTAAGAAGGTAGCGGACACGGCTCATCATCTTGCAGATCTTGTCGTGATATCGGAGAGATTCCGTTGATTCCTCGTCATACTGGGCATCGTCGATTATGAAGTTATCAATCCTTTTGTTGAAATTTGCTAGTTCCATGTCTTTGCCTTGGAGGTCATCCAAGATTACTTGCAGATTGGCAGGCGAAAGCTTCACCGCTTGTAGAGCTTCGGTAGCGGACGTGATGAGCCTTGTCGCGGTGCCTCGAACTATTCCTCTGCTGCGTCGCAGGCGGTCCATATTCGGTGCAGGACCTCAGTCTTCTCCCTGGTTTGATGGCACCAAACTATGTAGAGGGCAGATAGACTGACGTGCGCTTGGTAACGGTTTATTGCTCGAACACCACTTCTTCCGAACTCTTCTCTTCTAGCAGCTCTATCCTAAGAACGCGTCGCACGCGCACTACGCTGCACCGTTCTATTCAGTTTTGATCAAGATGGAAGTGAATGCGGCTGCTTTGAACGCGATCGAATACTGCGTAACCATATCGAAGGAACTAACACCAGTTGTAACAGTGAAATTATGCAGGAAGGAAGGAAGGAATAAACTTTTTTGCTTGAAACGGTGTAGAGGTGCAGGTTCCACTTCTACTTTAGGTGGGAGGTCTCTTCATGCAGGGACAAAACTTATATAAGTAAAAGAAAAATAGAAACGTCACATCGCAAAGCAAGCTCTGTTCAATTTTTCCTTTGTGAAAATTATAACAAATCTGTCTTTCATGAAAAAAGTTACCCCTTTTTGCAGCCTTTTATGTAACAAAGCTAGGCCAAATTTACGGATGCTCAGCGTATTTTGCTTAAGAAGCACTCCTCTTAGGATATATATACACCTTGCGTGTCCAGGCGTGATATGATTCTGAAGCTCGCAGTTCCGTGTTTCAAAGGCTGGTTTGCGACGATGTTTCATTACAATAATTATATTTGACGAGGCACTCTCTACAGCGGGGCTACGCCATGAGAGGAAAGTTCCTGGGAACATAAACGCTGATGCCATTTACTACATTTGCTAATGTCATTGCAATAACTTCCATGCACTTTTTTTGCGTTTAGAAATGGAAGAGTGCTACAGCTAGTCTCATTGTTCTATGACGGAAAAAGAAATCTGTGGAGCTCTCACTTCCTGCAAATTTAAATCTAATTTAAATATAGATGAGCAACCCACAGAGACACCTCCCCGTCTCGAAAAAAGCAATACGTGTCGCGGTGATGTAGCGACGACGACGAAATTAAGTAATTCGATATTGAAGTTGGTGGGCGCTCAGAAACCTTGAAGACACGGCTTAAAAAGACGAGTCGGCCAACGAGAAATCAAAGCGTTCATGGATACACACGTGAAAACGGTCTTATTTAATTATTACGCACCTAACCCCAAACATGAAGCCTTCGGCACAAGACCCACTTCACCGGCAGTACCGAGCACTTTTCGTGAGCTTTCTGTAAGACTTCGCAACTTTGTTGTTCTATTGATTACCTTTTTGGTCATACACGTCACGGTGCCACTCCGTGCTTGCAAAAAATGCTGTTAAAACTATCAAAACTGGGCCTGTCTTGAAGTGTAACGGAAACTTGTGCTACTTGAAAATTCGTCATTTCCCACGAAACATGCAAATCTATGTGATGCGAAGCGTGTGGAGGGAATGTGACCGTTGGGTAATTTTTTTTTTACCGAAACGCTGCTAAATGGCGTTATACATACGTACAAATGTTGTGCGCATGGACAGGTCTATTGAACAGCCGTATATGTTTTGTAATCGAGGTGCTTACAGTTGCGTAACGATGTCAAGAGCAACGTGGGAATTACCAACATCATAAGCGGTAAGCTGAGATGTAGCGCTTGCGAGGACGGAAGCAATCAATAGTGCTACGTGGACTAACTTGAGTGCATGGTGCCCAACTACAACTGAGGATAAACCAACATTACGTCTGTGAATCGGAGTACATAAGTAACGCTTATAAAACTGGACGGGGCGTACTGCAACCACAACTGACATTTCAGCAACATTACGCCTGCATAGGGTCTTTCTCTGGAGGAGTTCCGAGACCCGGCATGGCTTTGTGGTAAATACTATATTTTCATGCAGAATGTTGGGTTCCATTTTCGCTGGGACCATAACTTATATTTCTTGCATTCGTCGGGTAAACGCTGCCGATGTTAGTTTTTTACGCTCTCTGCGTGGATATAAAGTATCAATCACCTGCGACACATATCACGGTCCGTTGTATACGGGTATGTACCACACGCATCTGGCGGAAAGGGTTTGACGAAGTACATGACGGAATATTCAAATTATTCATACCATGACCAGCCAGACATACATGTCAAGTTTACTTATCCTCCGATAATAATTTTGGTGTTCCCAAGTTAGAGGCGATCACGAGAGCATGCTTAGACGTAGGAGGATAGATAGATAAATAGATAGATAGATAGACAGATAGATAGATAGATAGATAGATAGATAGATAGATAGATAGATAGATAGATAGATAGATAGATAGATTATAGATAGATAGATAGATATAAACAAAATGTATGTCTATAAACATAGATACATAAAGCGAATTTGTGTACACAATACAGCGAGAGAAAACAGTAGCATGGGGACACTATACGCTTTTAAGCTGAGAAAACACAGCAAAGCACGACCTAGATGGATATGTAAGGTTTAACGCCCCAAACCACCATATGATTATGAGAGATGCCGTAGTGGAGGGCTCCGGAAATCTCGACCACCTGAGGTTCTTTAACGTGCACCGAAATCTGAGCATACGGGCCTACAGCATTTCGGCTTTCATCGTAAATGCAGCCGCCGCAGCCGGGATTCGATCCCGCAACCTGCGGTTCAGCAACCGAGTACATTAGCCGCTAGACCACCGCGGTGGGGCGCATAACACGACCTAGTTTTTTATTTAGTGTGGTGAGTCAATTGCGTCAGATGCAAGTGAATTAGTGCACGAAGTTTCCTTTATCAACATTTGTTGGCAGAGGTAGCTGTAATCCTGTTATACGACGCATTTTCCTAACGTTGACGGTAAGCCGTTTCAGCCGCGATTCAAAATTTCTTGCCTTGCATGCATGCCATTACCTCACGATCAGAATTGCATTAGAACTGATGTACACTCTTAGCGTTCTAATGGCCCATAGAAAGTGAAGCCTTGCACAAGCTACGCTGTCCATTTATTATGCAGTTCGGATCCTTTGAATTAAGGTATGTAGGGGTTATACAGGTGTATGCCCCATCTTTTGAGCCCCTAGATCAAGATTATTTAGAAATAAACATGCGCACGACTTCATTGTTTTGTAAATCAAATATATAGATTTACTATATGCCTATAGGCTCGAGTTTTTCAATTAGTGTAAACATATGTTCATGATAACTATAATTTTGAATCATGCAGGTAAGGGTATAATTTGAAGCCGTATTCATTATTGTTATATCGTTACTTCATTTGGTTTGTGTGGACGAGTGGCTTCTATTTTTCTGGAACCTCTCATCTTCGTAATGAGAGAACAGTTCATTATTTTGTCCACGTAATAATATATACTTCCGGATAGTTTGCTTCAAATGATGGTTTATACTGCGGCTGCCCGTGTGCATTTCTTTGCGAGCACGTCCTGATGCGCATCGCGAACTCCATAATACGTGCAACCATCGAGTGAAACTAAGGTGTTTCCTAACTTTCGAAAGTTCTCGCTAATTACGTCACCCAAAAATTCAAAAGAAACGTGTTGAGCCCCTGTTTCACCCGAAAGCTCCACCCGAGCGAAACATATCAATGTTTGTTGAAGGAAGTGAAAAAACAGTGAGGAGGAAGAAGATGAGAGGTTAGGTTAAGAAACATCCGACTAAGCAGAGAGTTAAGTGTCCGGTTTGGTACCCTTGCAAGATAAAACTTAAAATATTAAAAACAAACATCGGTGAAGTCGGGAGGAGCACGCCGAGGCCGCGAGTTAATCTGAAATAAGAGCTGCCTGCGCAGCTCTTATTTCATTTCATTTCATTTCATTTCATTTATTTTCTCTCAATGCACAAGGCGTTACAGAGAGGAGTGGTGAAAAACAAACAAACAAACTGTACAAACAAATGGAGCATGTTTAAAAAGGGTATGCGTTTATGGTATTCTTGAAGTTGGTCGGGTCAGTGATGGATGCAATGGAAGCGGGAAGGTGATTCCAGTCCGTGCTTGTTTTGGGCACGAATGAATTAAAATGGAGGTTTGTACGGCTGCTTGGAATTCCAACTTTGAAGTGGTGATCGCTGCGGGATGAAATGTAGGATGGCGGCAAAAAAAGCGAGTTACTCAGTGAGTGCATGGTATGGTACAACTTGTGGAAGAGGCACAAGCGCGAGATTTTGCGGCGAAATGATAGGCTGGGTAGATTTAAGGTTGACTTCATATGGGTTACGCTTGCTGTACGGGAATAGTTCGACAAAATGAAACGAGCGGCGC